CTGAAACTTGCTAGGTAGACCAGGCTGGCCTTGAACTCATGGAGATCCACCTGCCTCTGCCTCCTGAGTGCTGAGACTAAAGGCAGGCACCGACACACCTGGTTGGGCCTCAATCTTTTTGCCACAGTGTGATCCCCCTCAGGTATTTGTTGTGTCTCCTCAGGTTCTGTGACAAGTTCAGGTTCTGTGACAAGTTCAGCTGTGGGAAAGAGCAACCTGTCTCAGCAATCTGCTCTTTCAGGGGATCCACACAAAGCTGTTCCGATGAGGAAAGTATAATACCTTGAGTTTAAATCTCTTTATATAGTTAGAGAGGAATCCACAGAAACCACACCTGGCCTTCATGTTTATTTTTCCTCTATGGGCTGTAATCTCCTGGAGTAGGCACACCATTCTTCATGGGGAGTGTGTGTGTGCATGTGCATGTAGTGTGTGTGTGCATGTGTGTTCTTGGGCATACACATACATGTTTGTGGTGTGTATGTATGTGTGTTCCTGTGTGTATGTACATGTGTGGGGTGTGTATGTGTGTGATATGCATGTATGTGTGCTCCTATGTGTGTGTGGCACATGTTTATATATGTATGTATATTCTTATGCACATGTACACATATGGGGCATGTGTATGTAGTGTGTGTATGTATAATATATGTTTCTGTGTCTGCATTTGTGGGGTATTTGTGTATGTATGTTCCTTGTATGTTGCATATGTATATATATGCACATTGTGTGGTACGTATGTATGTGTGTTCTTGTGTATTCATACATGTGTATGTATATGTAGTATGTGTGCACATGTAGGGTATGTGTGTATGTGTGTGGTGTGTATACACATTATATGTGTGTTCCTGTGTGGTGTGTCTGTGGTGAGGTTTGTGTATGTATATGTGTTCCTATGTGTACGTGCACAGGTGTGTGTGTGTGTGTGTGTGTGTGTGTGTGTGTCTGTTGCACGTAGGCCAGAAGTAGATGTTGGGTGTCTTCCTCATGGGATTTCCACCTTATATTATGAGGCAGGGTCTCTCACTGGACCTGAAGCCCACTGATTGGTTAGAGTGGCTGGCTGACAAGCCCTGGTGATCTTCATGCTTTTACCTTCCTGTACCACTACACCTGGCTTTTTACATGGATTCTGGGGTTGATGCTTAAGTCCTCATGCTTGCATCACAAGTATGTCAACAGAACCATCTCTGCCCTTCTGCTCTTCCTTTTTTATCTGCCTTCTCTTCTTCTTCCTCCCATGAGCAATCTGACTGCATAAATGAGGAGTAGGTACCTAAGAGAAGAAGATGAAGGGTCAGGCATAGAAATTCCTTGAGGAGAGATGAGTCAGGATAGGTAGGGAGGGAGCCCAGGGGTGAGGCTGTCGAAGAGGCAGAGGTGGGCATCCTATGTGCTTCCATAGCAACACAGGCTTTCTTGAGTTGCCTGCCACAATTACAGTGCCTTGTAATTGCTACTTCAGTCCTCCCCACTAATTGGTGAGCTTCAGAAACTGATGCTTTAATATCTATATTCCCCAAACCCAGTACCTGATACATGACAGGTGTCCAAAACACAAAACAGTTCCTTCAAAATCTGAAGACCACACAGGCCAACTGTGAGCCAGGGGCAGCAAGCAAAATTGCTTGGCTTAAAATGATGGATATATGCAGGGAAATGAATTGCATAAGGCAGTGTGATAGACAGACTTGAATACTTAATATTTGCTGAACAGAGATTCAGAAGTCCAGGGCAGTCCAAGTTTCAAACACAGGGCTTGAGAGCTAATTTTGAGACAAGGAGTGAGAGAAGGAAGGAAGCTTATGGGAGGAGGGACTGGCTAAGAAGGCATTGCATGTTAGTCAACATAAAACAGGCAAGGGAAGGGCCAAGGGAGCATTCATGAGAATTAAGGCGAATGAGCAGGAAGGAAGGCTAGACTGTATGAAGAGTTGTAAAGGAGGTTCGTTCATTCATTTGCCTCTTTGTCGTTTCATTCATTCAATGCTTTATTTAACATTAGGTTGTACAAGTACCCATGGTAAGCGCAAGTCTCTGTTAACTTTAGGGGACACCATAGTCGGAGCATAACTGTGTAATGTAATAGAGACTCCAGATTGCAACTGCATAAGTTTGTGTTCCAGTTCTTCCTGTGCGGTTCTTAGCACTATATTTAACTTCTGAACACCCCACTTTTCTTAGTTCCTGATTTTAAGAACTTAAGAACCAAACCAAGCTAACAAAGGCTGAATATTACATGATAAAGATTTATTCAGCACCTGTTTATGCATGGAACATTGTGACATTAAGAAACCAAGACAGATAAGACTTTTCTAGTCCCATCCCCCCACACCCCAAAGACAACTGGGTGGGGGGGGTCCTGTCAACTATGCAATGTGATCTGTTGTGACCAGTAACCTAGTAGAAGAGTGATGTTAGGGGCATGGAATTCAGACAAAGAAATTAAGGGCATTTGGGAAGTTCAGGGAGACACCACAAGGAAGTGGTGATTGGACTGGATTTTAAAGGAAGTAGAAAATTGAAAGATGAAAGAGGAAGACAGAAGAATATCAGACAAAAGGACAGAGAGTCATGACACACCTCCCATGCAGGGTTCTTGTAGAGGTGAGCATCCCTATGTAGAACTCAAGGGCCAGCAGGTACATAGCACAATACTTACTGGTGCTCTCCTTTCCTGAATCTACCTATGTCTTCTTTAGGCCATGTGTAGCTAAAACCAAGAAAATGAAGGCACATTTCAAAAATCATAAGGGAGGAGAGAAAGCCAGGCTCCTAAGAGCCAGGCTTTGAGAACCAGGCATGATGACTAAGGAGTGAGAGCAAAGCACATGCCTGCACGGAAGTTGGCGAGGGTCACTCGGGGTGGCAGGGGCAGGACACAGGTGCTAGGGAAGGGAAAGGCTCAAGAATGAGTTTGCTCAGTTAGATCAAATGAAAGGCTCAATGGAAGAATGCTTCTGGGGCTGCTTCCAGTCTTCAGTGTCCTCCTCGGAGGGGCCCAAGGGGACAGGAGTGAGTGTGGGGTAAGACCTGGACCTCCAATGTCTGCCAAGGATCAGGCAATGTTTCTTCTTCCCCTGGCATTCCCCCTTGCCCTCTTACCTGAAGCCCACCGTATCCATGGTGATGGAAGATCCTAGGGAGATTCCATCCAAGGGCATTCCCATCTTCAAACCACTCCACATTCCAACACTCTCGATGGCCTCACGGATGGATTACACCTTCACTCAGAGAACCCCACTGTCATAGAGTTCAGTTATGCTTCCCCTGCACCCCAAGGAATCAGCCTCAGTGAGGAACTTGGTAAGGCACAAATAAAGTAAAACTGAGCCTGCAGCTAGGATGGTACAGTTACAGTTCACTGGAGGGATGACCTGAAAAGACTCAAGTATATTTAATGCCAAATGTACTTGGTTTTTAGAATAAAATCATAAGACCTGGTCAGTTAAAAATGCACTGGGAAGTAGTGAATAGATTAAACCCCACATAATCTCTTCCAGGGCCTGTAATGAAACTTTAGGAGTGGACAGTTCTATACATGCTAGGCAACTAGGATGGTCAGCCTTGGCTTGTGTCAAGTCCCATCGTGGCCTTAACATATTCTGGTGCATCAAGACACAGACTCCTATACTTTGTAACTGAGTCCTGAGGACAGTTCCATCCGAAAGATTTATCAGCATTTAAAGGCTTTGAACAAAATATATTTACAGATACAAGGTGGATCTCAATATAATTTTGGTGAGAGAAATAAAGGAAAAAAGCAGGTGATTGAGGAAGAAGTAGGTTGTAAGAGAAAGCAAATTGTAGCTAATGTAGCAAAGAGCCAGGAAAAGCTGCAGTCTATGGGTCCCTGAAAGAATTGCTTGCCTTTTCTGTCAGGGGCTAGGCTGTGTTCTCCTTGGGACTCTCATTCTGAGACCTTCCTCACTCTGTGCTCAGTTAAACTTGCTGTTTGATCATCAAATACCAATTTTGCATCTGTTGACTATAGACCAGATCATTTGGCCCAGGACAGCATAACAAAGAATTCTACTCTAAACCCCCTTCATTGTCACCAAACTCAGAAAGCCTTTGCTGACCCCCAGAAGAGGTGAAGGCCCATCCTCTGCTTCAGCAGCACCCTATGTGTCTCTTTCCTAACACTCATTCTCTCCTATTTGTTCAGTCAATATTTGTCTCCCTGAAAATTGTCAGCTCAAAGGCAGCTGTGACTCATGGTGAACTGATTCCGCCTGCACCTGCGGTGTGTCTCTGACCCAGACAGTAGCTCTTCAGTACATAATGAGTGAAGGAATGCATGCATACAGGAATGAGCAAATGACAGAACAAATCACATCCTCCTCTGGCCTTCGAGATCATGAACTTGTCCATCTTGTGGAATAGTAATGGAAGGCAGGTCGTTCAAACACCGCTCATGGCTCACTCCTCCTCCTTTTTCCCCTTTCTTTTTGCTTTTACTGCCACATACCTCACAACTCACCCCTGCCACCACTCCCTCAAATGTTAAACTAACATCACCAATAGCAGCAACGTGCACACTGAAGTCCTTACTCCCCAGGCAGCGGTATCTCTGCCGGCTGCACAGGAACATCCTGTGCTCTCCGCTGTGCACTATGAGGTTTTTATGTAATAGGAATATGTTGATTGGCATGGTCTCAATTTGGAAAGCAAAGCCATGCGTTGTGGCTTCCAATTCAGACCAGTTTTTCTTACTCTTTGAGGATGACAAGGCCTACAAGCAAAGCAAGTCAAAAAGAGCTGGAATGCTTCAAGCTCCATGGGAGTCAGGAAGAATGCAGTGTGGTGATACTGTTTAGAAAGACTTGGTAATTGCTCTACTAGAGAGCTGACATTTGCACAGCCCAATTGTGTGGCATCCGATTGAGCAAGTTAGCAAAATAAAGACAGATGGCAATGGATTAACTCCAACCCGCCCACCAGACAATGCGGCCAACGTGGAGAACTGTAGTGTGCTCAAAAAAAGCTTTCTGGAGAGCTGAGTGTCTTCAGAGGAGGGCTCCTAGTGACTTGCTAAAGTATTGCATTCTGCAAACAGCATCCACTCAGGATATGGGTAAGGAGACTAGAGATTGCTTGTCTTTGGGGGGGAAAAAGGGAAAAGAGATACCAGATCACAGAGGAGTTGAAATTTTATAGTTTTATATTTAGTTCACTGAGGAATGATGATTGAACTCTGCTGTAGGCTTAAGGAAAATGACCTCTTTATTGGTGTCTAGATTTGGTGATACTAGAATTAAATCTAGGGACTTGCACATGCTGTAAGTGAGGAAGTCGGGGAGATAAAAAGAAGGCTAAGCCTAAGTGACACAGGCACTTATTGGCTTGAAAATACATAACCCAGAGATACACGAAAGATTCGAGAGTGTATGCAACTTAAAACCTAGGAGGGCAAATAAGATTATTTCAGTTGCCAGCTCTGACAGATTGTCGGAGATTATCTGGACAGTGGAGGATCATGAAGTGAGCTCTCCAAGACTCAGGCCTGGGATCCTATTGTCACTGAACATCTTTGGCCATGGCTTCATAAGAGGACAAAGGTGATATTTGGGTTTGTATTGGACAACTTGCATCAAGATATGAAACCTACTGGTTTGTTTAATATTGGGTATGTAGCCAAAAAGATTTCTGTACTCTTAACAGATCTAAGCTGAAGTGTACATAGAACATATAGAAAAAAATGGTGATTTTTCTATCTAAAGGAGAGGTGGTCAAGTAGCAGCAGTTTTGTTATAATAGTAGTTCTGAACTGGGGTTTCCTTATGTCCTTACTTATGTTGTGGAAGAAAGTTTAATTGGATGTTCACAATACCATCATACATAATTTAGGGCTCAGAGTCCTGGAATGCATGCTAAGAACTTAGTGATGAGGCCTTGACTATGGTTACTATGATAAAACACCATGACCAAAATTGGCTTATGGAAGAATTTGTTTTGGTATGGTTCTAAAGGAAGAGTCCGTGATGGCATGGCAACAGGTGGCCAGAACAGGAAACTGAGAGATCACACCATGAACCACACACAGAAAACAGAGAGGGCTACCTGGAAGTAGAGCAAGGCTGTGAGCTCTCAAAGCCTAGTGACATACTTCCTCCGTCAAGTCTTCGTATCCCCCAAATTCCATGACCTCTCCAAACAGAGATGTCAACTGGGGACCAAGTGCTCAAATACATGAGCCTATAGGGGACAGTTCTCATTTAAACCATCACACTGACTATTCCTAACAATAGTAGTTATTTATGGGTGCAGGTCTAGACAATTTCAATCAATGACCTAGAGAGCAAACCTGAGGAGGAACTGAGCTATGGTTCCTCATCCTTTCTATTACTACCTACACACCAAGTTGATGTCCTTGTTTGTCCCTAGCAATCACCTGGCATGTTAGTAGCTTTCCTTAACTGTAGCAAAAGCAAAATACTTGTTAGTTGGCCATATTGTTTTGGATCCTGTGGTGAGGTAGGACATTGTGACTGGGAATGCATAGTGAGGCAAAGCTATTAATCTCATAGAGGGGATATATATATATATAGATGCTAAAAACGAAGGTCCATGTGTCAACATATTACCACAAGTATTGAAAAGGTGGCCCAGATGATCAGTACTTCAGTAAACTCTCAGGCTCAGGGGAAGGTGTTAAATGATTAAGTTGCCAGGCTCTGCCCTTATTCCTCCATACTAACCAGCCTTCGCTTCCACCATAGTCAGCCTGGTATCAATCCCCAGATAGAAGTAGAGACTTTCTGGAAGTCATCTCACCAGTGACAGTGAGTTGTATAGCAGATTCCACCAAAAGAAACATTCCCTGAAGAAGGGAGGGAGAGGCCAACAAGACTCCTGAGGTAAACAAAACACCACCTGCCTGAGCAAGTAAAAACCTGCAAGACTATAGAAGGTCCCTTCCCCAGTATATATATTTGGTCTTTTTGAGATAGGGTCTCCCTGTAGTGGTAGCTGACCTGGAACTCATTATGTAGATCAGGCTGGCTTTGAACTCATAGAGATCCGCCTGCCTCTGCCTCCGAGTGCTGGGATTAAAGGTGTGCACCACCAAGCCTGGCTGGAAATATTACTTTGAGTGCCCACTAAACTGGTCTCATTCAGTGCATGAGACAAAATCCCTGACCTCCTGGGGCCTATTGCTTCTTGGGGGGAGACACAGAATGGATAAGACAAACAATACATGCAAAATAACACACACCAGATGATGAGTGTGGTGAACATATGAAGCAGAGGAAGGGGAGGGGGAGAAGGGGCTGACCCATAGGAGGAGAGGGCTCTAGCAGGGATGGCTGCAGTGCAATGGTGCTGAGGGGAGAGTGGGCTCAGCACACAGTTTACCCATCTCCATGTGTGGCCAACATATTCAAGAAGCCTGGAAAGACAGCTCTAAGGAGCCCGCAGCTAGTACTGGCTGTGTGCTGGAGGCCAGGCCCTCCTAGGATCAGTGTACACAGAGATGGTGTGACGACTAATTTTGATTGACAAGCTGACTAGATTTGGAAGTATTTGGGGGATTAGTAAAGTTCACCTCTAAGTGTGCCTATTAGGATGTTTCCTAAAAGGGTTAACATATTGGAGAAGATCTGCCCTGAATGTGAGTGACCATGCTCATGGGAAAATTAAAGGGGAAGTAGGGGAAAGCCAGCCCAGGGCAGGCACCCTCTTTCTGTGCTTCCCAACCACCCTGAAGTGAGCTTTCCTGCCATCGTCCCCCCACCCCTGTGATAGACTGAGACCTCTGAAACCATGAGCCCAAATAAGACCTGCCTCACTTCAGTTGTATTGTCAGGTACAATATGATCTAATATGGATGGAGAGGGACACGACCTGTGAGGGCGATGTTCGCATGCGGATGTGATGAACGGCCAGAGGCACAGAGATGAAAATGGCAGCATCTATGACCAGGAAAAGGGCAATGGGGGTCAACAGGAGGTGATTTTCAGTTGAAATTTGTTTGGTGAGGGAGACTTGATGTATTGGGGATGAGGAACTAGTATTTGCCAGGTCAAGGGACTTCAAGGTACACCTGGGAATGGTGAGGTCCAAGTTTGTAAAAACAAAATAAAACAGGGTAGCAAGAAGTCACTCAACAAAACCAGAAAGGAGTTTGAGTGTTCTGTGCTTTGATCTGGGCTTTATGTTTGGAGCTTATCATTTGACCAGTGGTTCCACCTTTCATTCTCCAGAGTTCATTTCCATGTAATACTTTTTCTCATGTGTTGTTACATTTCTTTCTAATCCCTCCAAATACTGCAATTTTTGAGAAGTAATGCTCTAGTTACTTTCTATCTCTGTGATAAAAAAGACTGACCAACACCAACTTGGGGAGGAAAGGGTTTATTTGGCTTATAGCTCACATTCCATCACCCAGGGAAACCAAGGCAGGCAGGGCAGGAACCTGGAGCACAGCCCATGGAGTACACTGCTTATCGGCTTGCTCCTCCGGCCCGCGTTCAACTTGCTTTCTTGTATAACACAGGACCACCTGCCCAGGGGTGGCACCACCCACAGTGGGCTGAGCCCTCCCACATCACTCAATAATCAAGAAAATGTCCCACAGACATGACCACAGGATAATCCAATGGAGGAAATTCCTCAGTTTGGTTCTTTGTACACAGGTGCGTTGTCAGTTTGATAACTGAAACTATCCATCACAATTAGCTTATTTGTTAACCTTTTAAAAAGTCATTCAAGTTTTATAACTTCGGAGCCAGTGATAATGATGAATACAACATGCTAAGTCACTGATATGATGAAGTTCATTACCTCTTGCAATGTGATGACAGCAAAGGAGGCTAGAACTCATGGGGACCCATGCAGACTATTTACTGGCAACGATCTCTGCCATGTGGAATAAAGCTCTAATGTTGCCCCTGGATTCTTGGAGTTCAGAAGATTAGAACCAGGCCTCTAGATTAAGGAGCAGAGGAATGACAGGCTTGGGTTATTACTCAGAAGGAGTAGCTCATAACAGACTGTGGTGGGTAGAATAGAGTCAAGGAGGCTGGTTCTGAGGTTCCAATTGATCTTGATGAGGTGGGGTCAGGGCTTGGTCCACAGCATGTACAGGATGATGGAGCTGGGAATGGATTCCATAAACAGTCTGGACCTAAAATCTCTCAGTGCTGGGGATCAGATCTGAAGTGTGAAGGAGGTGTTGAGGTGTCAGGGTTTAGTTCTTAGGTCATAGACTGGATGAATCAGAGGCCCTATGACAGTAGACATAGGTGTTAGAGAGGCAAGGCCAGGCAGGCAGGAGCCTCTTTTCCAAGGCTGCAGGCATAATGGTCACCAGTCATCTTTCTTCTCTTTCTGACTTAATAACTTGTCTTACCCCCCTTCCCACCCATGAAAACACCAGGTCTGAGTCACAGCCATGGGAAATGAGAAGTTGAGACACACCATAGTTAGGGCAGGCTGGCTAGGAGCTTTGGACCCTGACAACCATCTCTGCTGTACTCTTGTGTCTAGATACCCAGTGTCTGGGTCAAATAGCACTTATCACTGCACCATGGTTATTGATGGGGTTCCTGCTATTCTTGCTTTCCTTCATCCAAGCTCATTTTTCTTTCTGGAGTTTTTTTTTTTTTTCCTGACTGTCCCTACTGATCATAACGTGCACCAAATAGAGAAACTACCTTAAGATCTTGGGGGATGTTATAACCAAATGCATCCTGTCCACATAGATCTTGTTCTGAAAGTTACTCTGTCTCATTACCCAATAGACAGCAGCTCATCTGTAGACAGACCACACCTTGTTAGCTGCTGTAATCTGAGCAGAAGTAGATCCTATTTGACGCCCTTTAATTAAAGGAACCATACTCTTCAAAATAGACAGTGCATGTCTTGTGCAGCACTATCCACCAAACCAAACAGCCACCATCTTCATAAGACTAGTTTTGTCTGCTTGTAAAAGATTATCAGGGCTATAAAGTGATGATCCTCTCTCGTGGATGGACAGAGGTGAGAAGGGTCATTGGATCCTCACCTGAGACTAGCTCCTCCTCTCAACCAGATGAATGTGATTCTGCCCTAATTTCACATGGCCTTGGCGGGGGTGTGTCTAAAGGAGGGGCTAGAGTACATAGGCGTGGGAGGCCTAGTGGAAGAAAGCTCTGTCTATGCAGCTATGGGGAGGCTGTCATCCATTTGGACTGTATAGTGGCAACTTTGGGGTCACCCATGCTCCTGCCAGTAACCCCTTACCCATACTCTGTAAGTGAGCCCAATAAACTGATTGATTCTCCAGGAGGGGGAGCTTTGGTGGAATCAAACTTTGGTTTGTCATTGGAACCTTAGAAGGAGAGGCATAGACATTACCTATTCCTCCACAGGGGGAAAATTCTTGAGCATCTGAATCTTGAGCACAAAAATCAATTATGTTCCCGGACTGGTGCACCTTTGTTACAGAATCTGCATCATCTTTGATCTTTGTGAAGACAATTAGAGCTAATTTGAAAGAACTGGACCATACTTGGAAATATGCTGTGTTCAGTTTGCTCAAAGTCTATTCCATCGAATCACTGTGATACATTATTGATACCATCTGCTGTTGAGAGTAACTTATAGAGCTTTACCATCTTCATGTGGTACTTTAACCTGAAGCATTCCCAATTTCCTTCCTATCCAGTCAGATTCATTTGTTACCATCCTGATTTTGTGTCATTCACTGATCCTTAGCCATGCCTCACATCCAACTTGGATGGGCTCATTGCATTTTGGGTTTAGTATCAGTTCTAAAGGTTTCTCTGTATTTTGTTTGGTAGTGCTGGAAGGTGCGATGCAGGCTGCCAGGGGAGAAAAGACATCAATGGTCTTACTCAGTGCTGGGTCCTGCATACTGCAATATCAACCTGCCAGGCAAGATACGCCCACATGTCACATGCAATAATGGCATGACTGTTATGGAGTACCTAACAACTTTCTCATTGGATTTGAGGCCTGCTCCACTGGAGGGAATTTCATGCCTGGTACTGTAATCCTGATGAAAAGCCCATGGCTGGAGAGGTCATAGACCCTGGAGTAGAACCCGCAGTTGTTGTTTTGCTAAATGGTTATGCTGCCATTGTGCCTTCTGAATATTTATGTTTATACCCATAGACCTGGGCTACTCTCAGCCTTAGAGAAGCTTCTGTTTGCTTTGGGCAGGAGTCAGTGAAGAGGTGCATAATTGGTCAAGGTGCTGGGAATAAGAGATGGAGTACTTAGCCCTAAAAGGACTTCTATATCAATCCCACCCAACCCCCACCCCAACCAAGGCTCAGGGCCTATCCCAGAAGAGGGGGCAGAAAGAACATAAGAGCTGGAGGATGGGGAAAAGTGCTGTGAAATGCCATCTTTTGGACACGACATGGTTGTTAAACTCACAAACTCACAGCAGCAGTAGACACCTGTGCAAGATCAAGCCAGCCAAAACCCTGGCATTGATGGGGTAGAGGAACTCCAGACCCCAGCCTTACTGGGGGTATATTGGCAGTTGATAGTTGCTGTGGGAGGGCGAATCACTCTTGTCTGAGGATGTGGCCACTGGCAGGATTGCCATGCTCTAGTGGATGCCCCATGCTCATGCACATGTGGACAGCACTAACTGTACATAGTGGGTTATTTTTTAAAAGAAAAGAGATGAAACTGGGAGAGGAATATGCTGAAAGGGATATGGGGGAAATTGGAGGGAAAAGAGGGTAGAGAGGATCATATTTATATTTCATGGTATGCATGTATGAAGTTCTCAAAAATAAGTATTTTTTAAATGTTGAACCTAAAAATACAATCTGCATCTGCTTTTACGTGCACAGTTTGAAGTATTTATGCTCCTGTTTGCTGTTCTATGAGACTGCATAAATGCTGGAGGAGAGACTTGTTTCCAGTCCTTTCTGAGCTCCCTGGGAGCATTGTTTCATGAAGCAGAGCCTGCTGATGTTACTTCTACCAAGTTCAATAAACCTCCCAGCCTTTCAGCAGGAGACACATTTTCAGTTTGAAAGCTTGTGCTGCTCAGAGATAAATCACTGTAAGGACCTGACTTGCCATCAATAATTCATGCTAGCTGCAGAAGCTGGTGTGAACTCGAACAAGCTGCTGTGCTTCACATTTGCTATTCAGTCATTCCTTACTCATTTATAGTTGTGGCAGGGAATAAAAGACTGTGTGTGCTATGGGCTATACCTAAGTTTCTATTAACATATTTGATATGTTTCTGACGTACTTGGACTGTTCAAAGCTGATTCATAGAACCTTTTAAGGAAAGGATCTAGAAGAATATACTAAATCAGGCTGGGGAAATGGCTCAGTTGATAGTGTCTGTTTTGCAGGCATGAAGACCTGAGTTCAGACCCATCTAAAAATTCAGACATGGCAGTGTACACCTATAATCCCAGGACTGGGAGGTGGAGACAAGAAGATCCCAGGGGTTCACTGGTCAGCCAGTCTAGCCAATTGGTCATCTTTACGTTCAATGAGAGACACTGCCTCAAAAGTAAGGTGGTGATAGTGAAAGACACCCTCTGCTGACCTCTGGTCTCTAAACACACACACACATACACACACACACACACACACACACACACACAAAACTAAATTTTAAAAATATATGTACTAAATCAAAGAAATAAGCAAACAACGTGCTTTTTTTTTTTTAAACCAGGCCTACATGCTGTAATGTGGTACCCTAAGGATCTCTTAGTGTATTAGTTTCCTTCCCCTTCTCACATGAATACAACCCAGGAGGTTACCAAGGTGATATGCAGGTAGCCAAGGTGAAAAAGATAAGAGAAACGTTGCTGAGAGGGTGGCTGCACTAGGAATGGGCCTGTGTGAAGGAAGAAGGGAAGGCAAGGCATGCTTGTGTGGTCTAAATTCCTACTTTGAAACCTTAACCTAAAATATCTCAGAATGTGACTGCATTCAGAAACAAGCCTCTACAAAGTCTTTAAGGTGGGTTTTAACTCAGTAAGCTTGATTTCCTTATTAGAAGAGATTAGGACCCAGACGCACAGCAAGAAGACACAGGGAGACATAGGGAGAAGGAAACCATCAATAAGACGAGGAGAGGGGTCCAAGAAGACAACTCAGTCCCCACCGCAGACTCTATACTTCTAGCTAGAACTGTGAGAAAATACTGCTTGAGACTTCTTGCCTGGTCTTTTGTTATGGCAGCCATAGCGCATCCATGCTCATGCCTTGTTGGTAGATTATAGCAAGGGTTTCAGAAGCAAAGTCTCTAAACAATGAGAAAGATGATTTTGTATCTCTAGAATATTATGTGCTGGTACTTTATTATATAATTTGAAAATGTTGTATATGTCTACTCCTGATAATTCATGTTTAAATTGCTTAGCATCTTGGGACCCATCACTCAGTCATACTCCCTCTTTTACAGGGAGCCTCTCCCTTAGAGAGAAGAGGCTTAGGGTGGGTTGTCCTGGAGCCCTTCATCCCACGCATTCCTAACAGCAGGTCAAAAGACAGGAAGCAGCGGGGATTTGCCTGGGAAGGAAGTCAGAGGCAGCCTGACTTTTTAAAGTGTTTGGAGAGGAATTATATCAGTAAAATCCATCCTTTTTGACTGCACAGTTGGTTGAATTTTTACAAGTATGTTTAGTCATGTAAACACCATTACAATCAGGGTACAGAACATTCCCTAAATTTCCCTACATTTCTTTGCAGTTAATTTTCTTCCTCCTCCGAACCCCTGGCAACTACTGATCTAATTTTGATCCCTGTGGTCGGAACATAAACGAATTCAGACAGTACACAGCCTATTGTTTCTGGTTGCTTTCATGTTTTGAGGTCCTTTATTTTGATTCTAAACACTCTTTTGAATTTTTATATTCAATACTGACTTATATGCTATATGTATCAACTGCTGTACAGTATATACTTAAAGCTTATGTGTAAAACTCATCTCGTTACATTACTTAAATACAACCTAATAATAATTGGATAAAATTACTACTACATGAAGATGAATCATTTATCAAATTCAAACACATTACTGCTCTTTCATTACAAAGGTGTTGGTTGGAAGACATTCCTAAGAAAGGTCAAAGAGACAGTGACTGGATACTGAAAAGTGTGGTACAGGAACAGTGAACAGCAACCTTGTTCCCACCACAGAGACTGAGGGTAAACTTCTGGGGACCAAGACACAGCATGCTATATGCAAAGTAAGTGGAAAATGTGTGTGTATGTGTGTGCATGTGTATGTGTTGGGTATATGTATATGTATGCCTGTGTGTATATGTGTACATGTGTGTGAATGTATGTATGTATGTGGGGGTATGTGTATATGTGGGTGCATGTGTATACATGTATGTGTGTGTGCATGCATGTATGTGTATGTATATGCATGTATATATATATATATAGGGGTGGGTATATATGTGTGTGCATGTGTATATGTGTGTGGATGTGGGTATGTATGCACATGTGTGTATATGTGTATACATGTGCATGTGTGTGCATGTGGGACCAGAGGGCAACCTTGGGTATTGTTCCTCAGGATCAATCTACCTTGTTTTTTGAGACAGGGTCTATCATTAGTGTGGAACTTGGCAAATAGGCTAAGATGGCTAGCCAGTGAGCCCTAGAAATTCACCGGGATCTGTCTCCCTGGCACTGGGATTGCAAACACACACCATCATACCAGGGGTTTGTTTTCTTTTCTCTTTTTTTCCACACTGAATACTGAACTCAGGTACACATGCTTATGTTGTAAACACTTTCCTGACTGAGCTATCTGCAGCCCCTTCCACCTCAAAAAAATTTTAATAACAAGTGCATCCACATAGGTCATATGAGATTCGCAAAAATGATGGAGTATTGACACACACTGAGCCCCTAAGGTTCAGTACTTCACAGAGGAGAGAGCTACATGAACAGCAGTAGTGGTGGCTGTGGTCCTTAATATTCAGCCCATACCCACCACACCCATCCCTTAAAAAGTGCTCATTTCTAGTTGGTTCTTTCCCTAGGCTGTGGCCCGTTTATAGAATGTGTTTAATACCTGTCTGTCTCCTGCTGACCAAAATAAAGTTCTGCACAAACACTGTGCTTTTCGTCTAGGGCCAGGCTATGGATGAAATGAATGAGAAAAGGAGAGGAAGTAGAGACACCCACCTGCACTTGCCTAACTGGACAGTCCACCTGCACTGTCCATTTCTCTTTTCCCTACTGAGTTCTTTGAGTTTCTGCTCAAATGTGACTTCTTCTGGGTCTCTATTGTGACCCCTCCCCTTGGCCAAGGCAGAATGAGTTATCTTCCCTCTCCTTAGAGCTCCTTTATTTAACACTGTGCACATATAAATATCCCTTTATAACAATCAATTTCTCATGTATGTGACCTTTGCTACACTTTCATCTACCTGAAGATAAGTATCATCTTGTCGCTGTATCCCTAGATCCTGGTATAAAACAATCGTTGAGAAAGGTAAACTAAATGTGGTTGGCTCCAGCAATCCAAATACACCACATGTCACAGATCCACCCAATCAGCAGAGCCAAGAACCACCCTGTGTAGATGCAAAGCTGGTCTGTTTTCTCTTGTGTACCAGGCCTCATGTTCCTACCAGTCTGCCAAGCTTACGACCCAGATTCCTTCTCTGAGCCTATTTGCCTGGACCAACTATGAACATCATTCCTGCTCTGACCCAGATCCACAGCCTCTACTTGTTTCAGCTCACCGGGGTCTCCAGTTTTGGCCTCATCTATGAAACATGATGTGCGCCTAAGGCAACCCTGGTGATGAGCCATGCAGGGCAAGCTGGCACGGCCAGGCTCCAGGGTAACATCTGATTCTCCTGACTGTTCTGCAGGCCACTGAGAGGAACAAGAAGAATAAGCATTCAAATGAGTGCAGGGTCCGAAGCACTGCTCACAGCAAGTCCTGGGGTAGGAAGTAGGTGCAGACCTGGGTCAGAGCAGAGCCCAGGAGCTTGATTGGTTATGATGTCTTGCGGTCCCTTTCTTGGTGGGCTGAACAAGACTGGAAGAAGCATTTAAGGAAAAGGGAAAAATAAGAAAGAGAGGTATAGGTAGGTTCTGAAAAGGTAAGAGAATGCATTCTATAATGGCCCATTCTATAATTACCCTTGAGACTGTGTTGAGCAGTTGACCCCAAATAATATGATCGTGCTCTAATTCCTGATACCTGTGGGTGTGAACCTTTGTAAACAAGGTCTTTGGAGTAATCAAGTTAAGGATCTCTCCAGTATCTAGAATTTACAGTGAATTCTAAGCCTAATGGAAGGTATCCTTATAAGAAAAAGGCAGAAAGGGGTTTTAAACAAAGATATGTAGAGGAAAGAGGTTGTGGGAAAATAAAACCTAAGAGAGGAGGCTCAGAATGACCTAAGCCACCCGAGTTGGAAATGATGAGGCAGGTGCCCTTCTGCAGCCTTCGAGGGCCCAGTCCCCTTGAGAGAATGCACTTCTCTGTTTCAAGCGACCACCTCTGCGACACTTTGTCATTATAGTCCCAGAAAAATGAATGTACACCTTTGTTGATTTTTTTTCAGAGAAATGGATATATAATGAAATTTTTGGGCTCATGAGAGAGTCATCTGAGCCTTGGGGAATGAAGGTAATATTACTGGGTTGTGAGGGTCAACACCTTTGCCCTGGAAGTCCTAATGAGCTAAGCTTGACCAATTAAAGAGACAAGAAATAGTAAAAACTGGGGCGAATCTGACACCCTCTTCGGTCCTCCGCAGGCATTGCATGACACAGGTGCACTTACATATGTGTAAGCAATACAGTAAAACACATAAAATAAAAATAATAAATAAAATATTTTTTTAAAAAAGAGATAGTAAAAGCAGAGGAAGGAGATTATTCAGTGTAGTCACACTGTGGAGAAGAACAAATTAAGATGTCCAGTGACCTCCAAGTTCATCTTCATGGTCCTAATATGAGGTTTAAGTCTAAATGAAGGATCACAGGCATGTATAATTAAGTAGTCATGGTTAAGGTATGATTCTACCCATCATTGGCTCATCATGGCCTTAGCTCTAGTCTTTCCTACAGTGTGGCCTGTTAAGTTGTCATCATTGTGTAAAATCACTTTCTGGGAGACAAGTTCCCCATATAGCTGACACCAGGGTCCTAGCCCTGTCCTTTGCCAGCAAGAGACTCCTGGGGAAATTCCAATTTCTCAGGGTCTGAGAGCAGAAGTGAGGGGCACAAGTGTCTCTTTTTACAGCAGCTGCACTATTGCCAGGCTGATTGTAGTTAAGGTACAAATAAAATGACTGGCCCAGAACCACATAGAAATAGTTCCCGTTCTTCCAAAATTGTTAATAGAAACCAGAAATGTTCACAGGAAAGCTTTTATTACTCAATTAACTTCACCTCAAGGATGTGTCTTCCATTTCCAGAAGAAGTAAGAGCACCAAAAATGACAATAGCAGTAAAAATCAGAGTGCTCTGAGTGAGAGATACTCTACCACGTATTCTACATAGATCCATTTTCTTCAGTAAGAAAACTGAGTCAGAATGAGTCAGTAAACCTGCATCTAGTACTTACTATAGGACAGACCCTGTTGTAACAATTTTACAGTTATTAGCTCATTAATCTTCAGAAGAGCCCACCAGAGCAGGAATTATTATCTCTCCTTCACAGAAGAGATTACCAAGGCACATTTTACTCACACAGCTAGGAAATGGAAAAACTAGGGTTCAAGTGTAGGAAGTCTTTCCTGGAAAACTTTTGACCTTAATTTCTACTCCATAGCAGTAGGTTAAAGAATGGAGATTTGACTGACTCTCCAATCCCATACTCACTCCATGAACTATACTCAGACAAACAAGAGACAGGATCATGTTATGAACAGCAGTTGCTCTCTGGCAGTTCTGGCCTCCCCTGGCTCTTCTGTTTGAGGCTGCTAGGATGCCCCACCAGCAGGCCTGATTCGTCCCTGCTGCCTACAGTATGATGAGTACAAAAGCCAATAGTGGTAGAGGCTTAGCCTCTTGGCTTATCAGTCTCTGATAGAGGCTGATGTGAGGCTGATGTTGGTGTTGTAGGCTTGCATCTGAGTATTGCATGGGAGCCCTGGCCACCCTCTTCCCTTGCCCCCTTCCCCATGCTGGCCCACCTCTGTTTGCTTGGTTGCATAACTGACGTTTTATTATGTCAACAAATATTTGCCAAGCACCTCTCATATGCCAAGTTAGAGCATGCATGATGTCCAATTCAGAATGATAGGTGCCCTCGTGGAGGAATAACTTGGCAATAGCCCTCCTTTTTAGAGTATTGTATTTCATTCCTTATGCAGTCTCCCCAACACCTGCTGCTCTGGGAAAAGACAGAAGGGTCGCTGCTGAGGTTTGTATGAGGTATATCCCCATGAAAACCCAAGTTAAAATTTTATTCCAAATCTAACAATGTTGAGAAATGCTGGACTATTTAAGAGATAATTGGGTTTGGGGGACTCTATCCTCATAAACGGATAAATGGCCTTTTTTTGAGAGGCTGATTCGGGTCTCTGGAGACTTGATTAGGCCTCTCATGAGTGGTCTTACAGGACTTGAGCAGGTGTTATAAAGCAAGGTTACCCCTGACATTTCTACCTCATGCCCACTTCCCTCATCTGCTCTAACAAGTGGCAGCGGCAGCGTAAGGTTCTCACTACGAGCCAAGCAGATGCTGGTGTTTGGCTCCTGCACATTCCTGCTTCCAGAACTGTGGGCCAAAATACATAATAATAGCCACTTGTTCTCATTTTTTTGGAAGACATATGTAGCTTGGGTCTGAATAATAGGTTGTATTACTGGGTCCAACCTGTGATCTTTGGCAAGTTACTTAGTTTTCCCAAGTCTCAGTTTCCCCAACTACAAAACAAGGTTGAAAATTTCTTTCCCTCATAGGACTCCAGTGAGGATCAGAAAAATTGTGCAAAGAACTTGGCTGGTGCATGACCAAACATTCAGCAACGACTCTGTGTAAGGAACACTGTAGTCGCTTCTGGATGAGATGCTGAACTCCCCTCAGGTCTCAGGCATTCATTCTCCTGGCTTCCAAAGGTTGCTGCTTTCCCAGCAACTCCCATTAAAGATGGACTGGTGGGAAGAACAGGATCTTTGGTCCCTTGATGGGCTTAGATGTTTGTGGCCATTGCTGGGAGCTCAACTTCTTCCAAGAGACTGTTGTCTAGAGCCGTTAACAGTAAACTGATGATATGCAAGTTTCGGAATGGCTGTGAGAACTGTAACTTTGTTGAGGAAGATGCTGCTGATTCCACCTCAGATAAGCCTGATCTTGACAAGTGCACTAGCTGGGTCACACTCACGGGTCACACTCATGGCCTATTCTCAAGTATGCCCATTTTTTGAGGTACTGATGAGGAAAGAGATCACAAAATTTAAATTACAAAAGTCTGTGTGAATTACAAAAGGGTGCTATTTCTTTAACAAGAATACCACTTTTTTTTTGCTTTCAGAAGTTGATGTTTCTTTGAGAGTCATGGAGTTTGGGCCAAGAAATGTCTTTTTTTAAATGTAACAACTGTAAACTGAGCAACTAACTTGTGCATTCTAATAACTATTTTCCATGTTTCATCTCAAAGTCTAAACATATCATAAATATATCTTACATGATAAAATCTGATTATATTATAATATATAATTATATTATCTGATTTAGAATATAGGATTATTGAGGCAAACAGATATTCTGATTAGTTATAACATTTCTGTATATTCTTTATCAATTTTTAATGACTGAAATAATGAAAATCTGTTTAACACTGAAGGTCTGGTTAATGTATGGGGCTTGGGATGTAGTTCAGTGCTAGAACACCTGTCTAACATGAGCAAAGCCTTGGGTTTAATCTCTACCACTAAAAAAAGTCTGACACACACAATTTAATTTGAGTGATTATCTATGTATAAAAATGTGAAGAGATGCCAGTTGGTAAAGAATGACACAAAAAGGCTGTTTTAATCTACCTGTATCTGTGATTATATGACATAATGAACGTAAATATCCATGTTTTCATTCATTGATCTTACTGACTGTAAATATGGGAATTATTATAAAATTGGTAATTGAGTATAGCTGCTTATGGGCATAGCTGGGAATTCATTGATTAGAGGTAGATTGGATAGATAGACAAATTACATTTGTATATACTATATTAAGTATCGGGAATGATGCGTATTGGAACCTGTGTATACTCTAGTAACTAGCACACTGTTCAAGACATAGAACATTTACAAAGTGGAGATTATGTGGGAAAGATTTTTCCTGATATCTGGCTTCCAGGGACTGTGCTCAGCCTCTGAGAGCCCGGGCTGCTGGGTCCTGGGGCAGTGTCCCTCTGTCCTCACCCCCTTGCTGCTCATTGCTCATCCCCTCTGCTGATCTCACCGTACAAAGGTTTCATCAGATTAAAGATGATTTGATTTTTCTTATTTGCTCTGAGGTCATAGGACTCTAACCCCAGGCCTTGGGCACGCCAGGCAAGTGCTCAGCCATGAAGCTATATCCCCTGCCAAATGGGAGGTGATTTCAAACATTCCTTCCTCGGTGAACACACACGGGGCTCAGATTCCTCCACACCGACCAGTAGCTCTCCAGAATCCTTGGCAGGTTGGTCTCCCAGCCTAACCCTGGTCAGGACCACAGAGTAAAGCATACACATTCCTTTTACAGACAGAAACCTTGAAGCAAAGTGAAGTTCAATGATTTCCTGGCCAGTGAAGCTGACATCAACCTTAAATTATACGACCCAGTTTGTATGAGGGTTGTCTTTCTCCTTCTACTAGAAGGAAGAATATGGTGGCGCTAAGGAGACAGTTATCTTAGGTATTTAAACTTACCACCGTACTTCTTGCAGCTTGAACTTCAGCAAATTAGTCGATGTTCAGTTTATTTACTTATTTGCTTTTTTTTTTTTGGAGACAGGGTGCTGTTATTATAGCCCACCAAGGCTGGTCTTGAGCTCACAATCCTCCTGCCTCAGCCTCCTGAATACTGAAGACACTGAATATTCTTGGAAATTTCCCTTCCTCCCTCCAAATGTTGCTTTGTTGAAATTGCCATATCTACTTATGGGAAATTTATATTTAGAGATTTAGGAAATTACACTGAAGGATTTTCCATTCTTTCACCAATGGGAGGTGTAGCTCAGTATGTTAAACCCAGAGAGAAGATTTGTGGGGCTGGCTTCATCCCTGTCCTACCTCTCCAGACAGAGTCAGGAGGACCATCAGAAATGGCTTCACTGCTCAGCTCCTCTCATTGGCTGGCTCACAGTTTGCCTCATCTCATAATGACTGTGCTGTAGATTTAACAGTTGCAACATCTAATCTGCCTCAAAAGCTCTTTCTGGCTTCTGGGGAGTTCCACAGCACCTCCCTTAGTTTGGTGTCGGATCTTACCACAACTGTAATTACTAGTCTTCTCCAGTGAACCAGGGAGACAGTCTCCCACACCATAACTCCATCCACTCAGCAATGAATGAACAATCCCGCTCTTTACAGCTAACTCTACAAACAAACGTCAAACCTCAAAGCATGAGTAAAACATCCTGTGCGCTACAGCAAGACCCAGGCACACCTCCTGGTTCTGCTCCTTGTGCAATATTTGCCATTCACCTGAAACTTGGGTTAAACTTTCTCTGGTGCCTTCTTCTGACTCACAAGGAATTTGCTTAATCCCCTGTAGATAGACTGTACTTGTGAAACAGGCATCATCTTGGTTGGTTGGCAGCAGAAAACAATTTATTAGGAACAACTTTCTATGAGGATGGCACCTCTTGTTCCCTAAGGATTCATGTCTTTTGACTGACTTACTGAGTTGCAAGATGTTTTTCCTTATTCTTGTTAGAGGACTGGGAGGGCAAAGAGAAGGGGAAAGATGTATTGATAGAGTGAACACAAAGGTGAGGTAAGAAGCTAGGAGACTCGTTTCTTCTGTCCCAAACTTCTAATTAGAAAACTCAAGGCTGAACTTGGCTATGAGTCCTTTGCCCTGCTGCTAGGCTGCATGATCATCTCCAGCAGCACAAGGGAGATGCTTGGAGGATGAGGTAGAACAGGCTGAGGCACAATGAACTCAGGAGAGGATGTAGACTTGAGAGGCTGGGGACATGTCCCAGTTAGTGAAATGCTTGGTGTACAAGCATGAGGACCGAGTTTGGATTTCCATTTTCCATGTAAAAAACCAGGTGTGGTGTCACACACATGATCATAGCACTGAGGAGGCCGAGATGGGAGGATCCCCGGGGCTTGCTGGCCAACCAGTCTAGCGTAATTAATGAGCTCCAGTTCAGTAAGAGATTGTGTCTCTCAAAAAATCAGGTACCTGGGTGTGGTTGTGCGCACCTTTAACCCCAGAACTCAGGAGGCAGAGGCAGGTGAATCTCTGAGATGAAGGACCACTAGGTCTACATAATGAATTTCAGGCCAGCTGTGGCTACAGGGAGACCCTGCCTCAAAAAAGCAAAAAAAAAAAAAAAAAAAAAAAAAAAAGTGGAGAAGTGGTTGAAGAAGACTCCTGATGTTGACCTCTGGCTTCCATATGCACATATGTGCATACATGTGCATATGCACCCCCTACATGAACATATACATACACAGACACAAGAAAGGATGTCAACTTGAGTTTTGACCTAGTGATTCCATGTATCACAGTTGCCATGATTATTTAGTTGAAACCTTCAGACCGTAGCAGTGTTGCTCACGGGACTATGAAGATAAGAGAAATTGCAAAGCTACCTGTAAGGGGAAAGGATCAGCCACTGACATTTATTAAATGATCTAGTCACTCAGAGCATTTTTGTGCACAAAAATAAATATGATTGGCTTAACACTATCTTTAAGATGAGACTCCAAGACTTTGAAAGACTAAGTTCAGAAATAAATGCTATCTGTAAGTAGCAGGGATTAGATTTGAACCCCAGCACCTTACACCTCCAATCTGCTATGTTGTCTAGGCTCTCGGTACCAGATGATTGTGACCAGGAGGGAATTATGAACCCAGATCTTCCCCTTTCCAAAAGGAGAAAGATTGGCTGAAATTTGAAATTTCTGGATTATAAATTGTTGACAATATCAAAAACTTAAAAAAAATCCAACAATTGCATGTGGGTTGAGTGTGGTACAGAATTATTTTCTTCTAGACCTAAGTTGTCCAGTCATTGCTCAACCTGCAACTTGGTTCACATGATGCAAATCTGGACATAGGAAGTGAGAATGTAAATCCTAACGCACATCAGACCTACTTGGGGGAATACCATTAGAAGAACCTTGCAATATAAAGTCCTCACTTATTTTATAAAAAGCACAGGGATAATATGGAGTATCATTTAGATAGCCAAATTCAGACTGGAGTACCATAATCTTACAGCTCAAAGATTCTCAACCTGTCACCTTGTAGTATGTGGTCAGTGGGCCATGTGTGAACTGAGATACTGAACCTCTCAGTCCTCAATAATGTCCTGTTCCAAAATAGCATATAGCATCTCTTTAAAAATTCCTCTCTCTCTCTCTCTCTCTCTCTCTCTCTCTCTCTCTCTCTCTTTCAGTGCTTACATGTATTTTTAATGTATGTCATGAAGTTGAAATAGTTGAGAAGTACTATTATCTGTTTTTATGTAATATAGATTCCTATGACTTACCTCAATCTTCTGTTTTAAAAATAATACTGGCCTTTATTATATTTACTTATTTGTTTATTTTCTTTGTTTCTTAGTTAGTGGTGTGTGTGTGTGTGTGTGTGTGTGTGTGTGTGTGTGTTCATGTGCATGCAGGATATGGTTCTTTCTTTCTACCACATGGGTCCCAGGGATCAACTCAGGTCAGCAGAGTTGGTGGCAAGTGCATTTACTCACTGAACCATCTTTGCTGGCTCAGTCTTTCTTCCTTTAGATGAATAGAATCTGTATCTTTACAGGGATGCTTTACTGGAAAGACTGCTTCTCCTCTGTACTTACTTGCTCTTCCCACCTTATTCATGAAATTTTTCATTAAAGACATTATTTCATTCATTCATTCCAGCTTCCTTCCTGATCTCTAATCTCACATGTCCATTTGATATTATTTTCACTTCAATTCATGAGTTCCACAATATGTTATTTGTTCGGAAAGGTCCTTTGGGAAGGGGCATGAAACCTACCAGGATGATCAACTTATTTGTAAACATTTCTAATTTTAGCACTAAAAGGCCTTTTTTTCCAGAAATCCCTTCAGGCCTGACCAAACTAGCATGGCTGACACAAGAGATCCAGCACAAGCAGGTAAAGTTATCTCCGGCAAAATGAAAGGTTCTTCCTTAGGGCTTGAGCGATGACTCAGCGGTTAAGAGCAATGGCTTGCAGAGGACCCAGGTTTGATTCCCATCACCCACATGGTGGCTAGCAACCATCCTTAACTCCAGTTCCAGGGGATCTGACACCCTCTTCTGACCTCCATGGGCATTGCACAACATGGGTACACTTACACACATGCAGGCAATACACTCATGCTTTCTATAATAATAAAATAATAATTAAAAATCATAAATAAAAA